TGGCACATTTACAAATACATCTTTGTAAAAAAGTATGCAAGTCACTGGTACAATTTCATAAGTAAAAGCATATAATACTCTTTAATAAAAAGAAAATAATAATTAAAATAAAATTTAAAAAAATTACAATAACACATAAAATGGGTGGGGGGAGAACAGCTGTTGTGTGAAATTTCAAGTTAATGAATTTTTATACAGCATCAGGGAATTTTAAAAAAAATATTGAATGATGATCTAAGAAAGACAAAATTAGTTATTATGATTTAATTTTAAATGAATTTTTTGATTTGGTTAAAAGATAAATCTAACTGCTACTTTTCTTAAGCAACCAATCAAATCTATGGTTAGCAATTTCAAGTCAACAGTACAAGTTAATATCCAATTTTATCACATAATATGCATCCTATTCATTAATCAATATTTAACATTCTAAAATCCAAAGGTTAAAGTTACGCTCAAGTGCCTGACCACACATTTAAAAATGCACATATAAAAAAAATTGTTAGTTTTATAAAGTCCTCCACAAAGGCATTCCTATTTTTAGGCAAACAGCTATTATGTACACTCGATCAGAAACGAGGGAAGGGGAGGGGAGAGTTCGATATCTTCTGTTCTACTAGGCTGATGGACAAAACTCAACTTGCGTTTTTCATGTCTTGAAAGCATGACTTAGGATATTTAACATAAACATATTTTTTAAACACAGCAGGCTCTACTAATAACAACACTCGACTGCCAGTAGCTCTCTGAACGAGAGATTCAAAACCCCCCAGCTTAAAGCTAATTTGTATTCTGGTAAGGAATACAGAAAGGAGAAGTTATAGTAAAGACTTAATAATAATAACTGGTTCATTAATATGAGATACTTAATTGAAATATCTACTATTGATTAACATAACATACAAATCTAATAACCTGGCACTTAATTTAAGTGGTCTCACTAGTGGCCGAGCAGTTAAAGACTGTTGATAGTTTGTTCCACTTATGCAAATAGTCTCCATATATTTTGTCATATTTAAATAACCAAGCCTAATTTATGTGCAATTTCTAAACTGGAAAAAAAAAAAAAAAAAAAAAACAGAAACTCACCAAACCCAAGTATAATGGTTAGAATTCAAGTCCTGACGAATCACAGATTTGTTTTTAAAAATGTGTTTATTATCCTATGTTTATATAAAAATATATTTTTCTTTTAAAAAAGGGTCTTTGATTATAAGTAGGGGCCCTCTCAGTCATGAAATATGGACATAAAACATTTTCAAATCATTTTTATTTGTTGTCTTTGCCGCATACAGAAAAGACAATAAAAATCTTATATTTTACCAAATTTTACCACTGTCAAACATTTTTGAAGTAAGTGCCAGCACATCTTATTTGTATTTTTGACGCATTCAGAAGTATGAATGCATTATGATGCATAATTTTGAAACCAATAAAATATATTTCATTGTATATAAAATGAAATTAAGTAAAATAGCAGAAGATAAAAATTTATTCTTATTAAAGGGGGAAAAATTTCAGCTTTTCAATTCAGTTTTCTTTCTTTCAATTTCTGATTAGTATCCTTTACAAATTCAAAAAATAGCTTTCCATGTATTATTAGTAAATATTTATTAGCCATAATTAATAAAAATGAAAATGAAATTTCCCATGAATGATCCCCAATAAAATATTATTTGGAAAAATATGGTGAAAAATAACTGTTGCAATTCACTGAAGATTACCAGTGAATGAGCGGTAAAGTCACTGAACACTAATTCAGTCCCAGCAAATGGGCTAACTGTATGGGCATATTTGTGATTTTCCCCATGTGTAACATGTATACCATACAGTTTCCCTTAAAAAGTCCTCCACTAAGGCATTCTTCCCCTTAGGAAGATAGCCCTTTCATGCTTTGCCATAATTAAACCAACCAAACCATTATAGATTATAACAAAGTGCATAAACTAAATTTGGCATTATTATCGCTTATAATAAATATGCCCAATATTTCAAAACGTGCCAATATACAAATTCACATGTATCTTGGGAAATTGTGAATAAACAATTGTAATTTCTCCTGGTTAACCTAGAAATACACCTATTTTAAGATGATGGTAAATTAAAAAAAATAAATTATAAAAATATTCAAATTTTATTTGAATTGAACCTAGATTCAAATTCTGAAGGAAGGAATCAAATAAACTTAATTAAAAAAAAAAGAGAGAGAGAGATGTTAATAAATACCAAATTCAATTAACATCAGGGAGCTACAATTTTGAGACCCAAATTTTTAAGTACTTGCATGATTTTTATTCTTTTGGCACTTTAGCATAATTTGAAGCGTAAGATTGAAATATGCAAAAAAAAAAAAAAAAAAAAAAAAAAAGTACTTGCAGAAAAACTCAGATTTTGTGTCAAAACACCTATGTTAGAACAATGCTATATATATAAATCTAATATGTATCCCAAGTCGTGCTTTCGAGATACGAAAAACCCATGCTGAATTAATCAATTGGTCCAGTAGAATGGGAGATTTTTTTTGGGGGGGGGAAGATTTGGTGTACCTTGTCATATTAGAAAATAACATTTTTATAGTTAAGATATCACTTAAGAGGAGGAGGGATTAAAAACATTTCAGACAATTTCACTGACACCTTGAAAAGCAGCCAGACTGCTTAACAACAGAAATAATTAAATATTTTTAAATGTTAAAAAAGAGTTTTGTTAGATGACACAAAACCTAAAATTGTGCTCAACCTGAATTTTGCAATGATACTTTTTATATTCATTAAAATAATTTTATTATATTCAAAAGCAGAAAAACCTTCCCAAGAAAAAATAGTGAAAGATTAAATTCAAAAGCAGAAAAACCTTCCCAAGAAAAAATAGTGAAAGATTTTTAAGATGTAGCCACACATAATACTGAAATTTTTCATTTGAAAATGCATGTAAGTTATGCAAAATACATATGTAAAAAATTTTTAATATGTTTGCTGCACAGCACTGAACAATCCAAAGTATGTGTTAATACTTTTATAATAAAAATGATTTTCAATAGGTACAGAATTAAAAAAACATCTATATCTGTGTAACTAGTTTAAATTTATAATAAATCTTAATTTTTTACAAATGTAACATTTTAAAATTTGATACTTTAAACTATGTAAAATTATAACTATATATAATACTATTTTAGGTAACTATTCAGTCTCTTCAGATGGATTCTAAAATTTTTCTTTACAAAAACAACTACTTAATGATATATAGCTTGCCTAAAATAATTATTTACAACAATATTGAAATAAAGAAACAATTATTTCAAAAACAGATAAAGAAGCTTTCATGTCTAGTTTTCTCAAAATTTAATTAGTCACTTCAAAAATTTAAAAACTGCTTAGATACCATAAGTCTAATCTTGCATAAGTCTTTATAAAACCCTTCGGTAACCAAATTGAATGTAATGGTTTCTCAAGTACAGTTTGCATCAAAAACTTTCATTGATTACAGTCACAGGTTTTGCTACACTCAGTATGAAATAACTATAATTCTAGGTACAGATAAAATTGGGCTCTGACAACAGAAGTATGCAATATAAAGTATTATATGAAAAGCATGGTATACCATTCACTTACACGATTACAATATTATTACAATATTCAATGATATGCAACACCCTCTTAGTAAGAAGATAAAATGTTTCATAAACAACATTCAAGTTTTATAAAATTTGCATACACACATCAAATTCTTTTTAATGCTCCAAAATGCAACTAAGATGAAAAATCTGAAAGTTGTTACATATTTATTTTATAAAAAACTAAATCCTGAGAGTTTTTAATTAATTATATTCAATGGAATGTTATTCAATGATTTTAGTAAATTGGTAATTAATATCATTAGAACAGATCTACATATACATATATAAAATTTTTTACTAGACATTTTTGGGAAATTACTGTGAATTTTTCCTCTTATGAAAAATCAAAGAGTACGAAATAATACATGCATAAAACAAGTTTTTTCCCTATAATTTCTGTCATTGCTTCATGCACAAATTTTAATTAGAATACATAAATTCCCTTTTGATAACTCAAATGTGCCACCTTTAAAAAAACTTATAAAAACAGATGAATTGGCTGTTTAATACGGAAAGAGGCCCTGGCAATATCTGAATACTAATTAAAAAAACAGTGATAATTACAATAAAATCTGAATAATAATGTCTTACAGCACTACAAATTAAAAATAATTTTGCTTTAAACCATATGTTTCTGAAAAAATCTTTGTTTGAAAAAAAAAAAAAAAATTCCCTGTGATGGCATTTTGTTCCAGCAAGGAAAAATATTATGCTATAGCTAGGATAAGAAAAAAGAAGCAAATTATAAATATAACTTATTGAATTTCCATAATGCATTTTAGCTTGGAAGATATTTTACATAGTACCTTTGGAGCAAATCAAACTCTCGACCATAGATATTTTGCTCATACATTATGAGAACTTTATTCTAAATAAGTTTATGAGAACTTCTATTCTAGTACCTAAAATGTGTTATATATTTTGCATTCAAACTTTGGAAATCATGGTCTACATTTTTCATACCCTTCCCATAAAGAAAAAATTAGAGATTGTAATCAAAGAATAGCTGTAATACAGTACAAGGTCCAATATCTAGACAACCAACAATAAAAATAAAAATAAAAATAAAAAATCATAACCCCCTTTACAAAGTCTAACAACAGAGAATATAAAAACAAACAAAGGCAGGTGAGTGGTAAAGGTGATTTTTCTCAGACTAACTGGGATTTCTGCATATCACTTATAAGGTATTTCTCCCGCCTTCTTAGCGAGCCTTCGTGGTGTAGAGGTCTGCATGCTTAGCGTGTAATCGAGAGGTCCGCGGTTTGATTCCCGACAAAGGCGGTGCATATTTTTCCTCTTGCCAACTTCCAAAAAATACCTAATGTCTCTACACATTTCCAAACACCTGTTGGCTAGACAGTCATGCCATGGCCAATAACAATGCATTGATTGAAACTGTATCAAAGAACTCTGACTGTACTGATGTTGGTTAGAATCACACTTTTGGTTATGAAGGGAAGCAGGTCCGCACTATGGAATTTCACAGGTGCAATCTCTACACGTGCTAAATACTGCTAACCTTTATCTCTAATTCTAAAAATGTTGCTGTCTTTAAATTCTACTGCTCGGTACCCGTTCTAAATTCTAAAAATTTTCCCTATCCTAATTTTGACAGCCGGTTGAATTTGCAGCAATTGCACCTGCTCTAGACATTGGGGGGGGGGGGGGGAGTTAGCACTTTTCTCTTTGTCATAAAGAATAATTCCCAGTATTACTGTATCTACATGTCATCTTGCTAGATTTAAACTGGTTGATCTAATATCTGAAATTTCCAAAGTCTTGAAAATTCTGGATTTCAGGCTTTGTACTGTAATTTTATTTTTTCGTTAAAAATTAAAATTTAAAAGAATAAGTTGAACTAAGCATTATTTGCATTAAGTAAATGCAAAAGAGTAAATAAAATTAAGTAACAAATATAAGCAACAAAGTGCATTCTAGGAAATAATAATACACTTCAACCAGTTTAAAAATATGAAATAGAGCAAGAGCTGAGACTCCAATAAATAAAAATAATTCTTATATTATATTTGGGAGACAAATAAAATATTCCATCCATTAAAAAAATAACACAAAATAATTAAAAGATGTACATATTTCAATACTGATCACATGTAAACAAAATATAAGAATTCTATACAATTGATTAAAATACTCAGTTAATTTTTTTACAAAACAGTCAATGTTTTAAGAGTTCAAATGAATAATTTCTTCATCGAAGTACATTTAGGTACACACATTTATTTTTTTTAACTCTTTCAACCAAACGCTCTCCAAGATCTTTTCGAATCTCAAGCCAGGCATAGTTAGAAGATACAGCTACATCTTCCAGTGCTGATTTACAAGATATGAGGATAGTCATGCATAGACCATCATGCTCTGCAGATACACCTGCACAGTGTTCAACAGATAAAATACCATGAGGCTTGTGAGGAGGTGGCTTTGCTCCAAACAGGATCTATACAAAAAACAATGCTTGTAATTCACTCGTTTTTCCAAGTGCAAATAAAGACTGACAGCTTTTGTTAAAAGCAGCATACATTCTAATTGGTTCTTACGAAGTATATGCAATCAAAAATCATAGAAATTAAACATTGCAGAAGATTTGGCAATAGAATGAAAAGACATTTCAGATAATTTATACTACAATAACAAATATATACATTAAGCAATAACTTAGAAATTAAGTTTTATATGAATGTAGCTTATATACTGTGATCAACAAAAGAGAAAGCAGATACATATATGCAGTTCTCTTCAGTAAAGTCAAATTTTAACATAAATATAAATATATGTGTATTTCTCTTGCTATGTAAATACGGTATGCATCAAAGTACATTAAAATATTTACACTAATGCCAACTGAAATAAATTATTAACTTTTGCATTAAATATATGTGATGATTTAGTATTAAAAAAATCAAGTATTTAGCATAAAGTCAACTTTCTTAGTATAAAAGAAACAAAATGTAAAATAAATCATTAAGTCCGAATTAATATATCAATAAAATCAAAATATTTGCATTCAGAGTTTAATATCTATTTGGTTTAATTAAAAAGGCTTAATAAATATGCTATACATTAATAATATGTGCAAAATAAAAAGCACATTTTAAGCGATTTACTATCAGTTAATCTACAATTGTATTTTTCTTACATTAATTAAAAGGATTTAATATTATATACATTACACTTGTAATGTATATTATGTTAATAAACAAGCTATTAAGCTATTAAGTCTTTACTACATTCTGCTGTTAGTATTTTTAGGTAGCTCTACTTAAAGTTCTATTGTGGCCTTTCTTAATATTTAGTCTTAACAGAAAAGTAAATAACTAACATATGATTAACACAAAAATTAAACTCCAAAATACAAAAATTTAAATGAAATATTCAGAGTTACCTGAATGTATTTTTGCATTGTAGAATGAATACTTTTACATGGATTAATTTCGCATGTTGGAAAATGAACACCACCCTTTTCTGATATTAAGACATGAATCCTATTACTAAAAAAAAAAAGAAAAATATATATAAATATATTAAAATTAAAATAGTAGTAACAAGTAAAAATGATTATAATATAAATTAAATAAAAATTTAATTTCACAATATTAGTATTTTCCCCTTTCTTTTGGAAAACGGTATTCAAACTGCAAATCAGTCTAGGGGAGATAATTTTCAAAAGCGTATGTTATTTAATGACCAAAAATGTTAACAAGTCATTAAATTATACATATTTAGATATTTAATTATTCCTGATAATATTAAGGTCTGATCATATTCAAGACTATTAGGAACATGAATGATAAAAGTATACAAAATACTGTACATTAAAAGAAAAAAAAATATAAACATTTAAATAAGACTAATACAATAATGTTAAGTAAAATTTCAAAGAGCTATCATGTCATATTTAAAAAATTGCCAATTCATGCAAAAGCATCATTAACTCTTTGTAATCAAATTAACACTTTGTAGTTAAGCTTGAACTTTTGACTCAAAATTGAGAGCTCATGCTTTTCAAAATTTATATCAAAATATTTTTAACTTTAATGCAAACAAAATTTATTTAAGAAAATTACAGTGCACTATTACTGACATTCTATAACATACACAGAAAGATTTTCAGATAATACTGTTTCATGCGTACGGTTCATAATAGATTGGATGCACAAGTCCGATAAAAGGTTAAAAAAATTTATTCTTATCCAAAGAAATATAACAGAATGCTGGAATTTTCCTCAGAGATATTCATACAGGTGTTCAAAATATCCCAAAACATAATCAGTAGTTATACTTTAAACTACTAAAATCATTAATATACAATGCAAACAGAAAGCTAATCCGATCTCATACTGAACTTGCATAAATAATAACAGTAGCTAACTAAACAACTGAGCTGAGATGTTCTCTGTCTGACTTTTTATAGCTTCTCATAGCATGATGCTTTTGCATATAAATCGGTCACGAGGAATTTCTAGTAATTTCTGCTTCTCAAGATTTCTGGAAAGCAAAAGAGTAGAATTACGGTTACATAGTGGTCAATAACATTTATTCAAATTAAAAATAAATTACCAAGATAAACTTATATTCAATGTTAAATGCATGTGCTCCTGTATTTTTTTACCTTCTCAGCATAGATTTCTCTTAAAACACGCCTCATGCACAGGGAAATAAAACAATTTTAATTATAATTGTACTAACATTAGCTATTTAGATACAAAATTCATAACAATATATACAGTCAAAAGTCTTTAATCCGGACCTCAAAGCTACAACTTTCTGGGCATGCGTTAACGTATGCGCACATGCATCTACGCATGTACATAATACGTTTAGGTATGCACGTTTAATGTATAACGGACGGTATAGGCTAAGCTAAAATTATCTAATTATCTTTTTCAGTTAATGTTGTAGATTGCATTGTTCCTTAATCTTCTAATTGGATCCGGCTTATTATTTTTTGCAGACTGTTAGAGCAATTTTATAAAAGTAAGCCTGAACTTTCGATTATGTCAAAAAGAATTTCCAATTCTGGAGCTGCCAAAGGATCTACAAAGAGAAAGCATGTTTCGATGTCCATCAAACAAAAAGTGGAATTGCTGCAAAAAATGGATAAAGGCATATCCTTTGTTTCTCTAACCATTCCGAAATCTGTTTATCATTTTTTTTTCCTTTGAGAACATACAGACTCCCCGTGCACCACATACATACAACATGGGGCTTACAGAAGTAAGTTAACTAGAACATTAAAGGTTACATGTATAAATAAACATTAAAAATTTCACGCTGCTCTGCGGGGGGAAGGGGGCGTTGCGGCACGCAATGATCTTCCAGTTGATCTGACAGCGCTATCCTTATCTTAAAGTAAGATGTTTTTATTTTATTAGGCTTATAATTCCTTACTAAATGTAGTATTTCTTCCGATGCACTCCGTCTTTGATATGATTTAAATCAAATTCCTCGTCATTATAAATATCATGAATACACATCAAATAGTTTTCTGGTTGCAATTTTCTAATTTCGACTATGCGTAACGTATGCTTTACGCATGTGCACGTTGAAAGAAATGTTTAATAAGGTAAACAAATAAATATTAAGCTTTTTTTGTAAATTTTGATACCCTTTAGATCATAATTGCTCTTTATTTCATAAATTACGGTTTCATATTTTTAATTTTATAATTTCTGCATGCCATCTTACCAGATTTAAACTGATGATCTATAATCCGGAACAACCGATAATCCGGAATCGCCAAAGTCCCAACGAGTCCGGATTAAAGACTTTTGACTGTACTATGTATGTGTGTGTATGTGTATGTAAGATAAAAATATAAAAGCGAACTTCCAAATTTATTTCACTATAACCTCTCTTATTTTTTATTTTATTTGGGAACTTCATCTCTCTGTCCTAAAAACAGCGCCATAAATTTAAACTGTGTCATTCAAATTAATCATGCGATCTTATGTAACCCTTAATGCAGATCTCTCTCGCCCATTCAAAATAGTTGTAAATGAAAACTAACTCGAATTGAAACTTGACTTCCTCCCTTCTTCCTCTGAAGTACTGCAACACTCTCTCTTCTGGCTTATGCTTTCATCCTGTTAAGACGCTTTGCTGCAATCATCACTTATATCACAATAGTATCCCAATTGTTCTGGAAATAGGCACAATTGGAGTGCCAAGTGAATTGTGGCCACAAAATGTGAATTTAAATAAATGTAGAATTTTATTTGGCTCGATTGTTTCTTCATCAAAATGGATGGACGCTCTAAGCATCAAGTATCAATGCCATCAGCATTTCTACGCATCTACATCTCAGTGTTCTTACATTCAGAGCCTCCAAAATTATTCTATCATTACATTTTTTAGCCAGTTCTATTAATGAAGAAATCTACACGAGTTTGTTATTCTATGTTCATAGTGAATCATGGGAAAAGTCCTGTTTCACCGAAAATTTTAATGCAAGTTTGTGCTGCATTCATGTGGTGTCATCAAACCGCAGTTTCATTATATGTATATAACTGATTTTGAAAGATAAATATTTGTTTCTACATCTGTGTAATATATTATAATCCATATTCACCTTGAAAATTTTACACCCCCACCACAAAAAAATACACAGTACTGCAATTTTTCATATTCATTTTCTTATTTTAGAATTAAATGCCTTAAAATAAAGACAAACAAGCTACTATTAGGAGATATCTATTTTGAAAATTTATGGCTAATTTTGTCAGAAGCTAATTTTGAATTTAATTTGTCCCTTTAGCACAGACCCAATAAAAAAAATCAATAAAAGGATTAACATGTCAGTGTTACATGTTAACCCTTTAAATGACCAACCCAACATCAGGCTATCAAGAAGAGCATTTTAGCTCCCTTTACACCACAGATAAACTAGGCTTATACTGCAATTCTATGCTTTATTAGGAATGAATCAGCCTATCTTGCGGCCATTGATTTCACTTCTATAGGACATGATGAACTAGACATAAGCTTCCTTAAATACTCCTACCTTTTATTGTAAATTGTTGTATATATATGTAATGATATTTTTAAATTAATTGATTAAATTAAATTCTAATAATATTGCTTAATAATGTGATGGCGATTCTCTACCTAAATTGCATCCCTGTTCCTAAATTTTGGCGAAATCCTTTCTTTAGTATAAAATATATTAACCTGTTGGCGCCCGCCAAATCGCCAAACTCATAAATCTGTCATATTACATAAAGTACTTAAGAACACTCCTGATGAGAAGATAGCGTCACCTCGTGATTTCAATTAATATCGCTGATTGGAGGAGCCTCGTGACGTACACATAGGTATAAGTAGGGCTTCTGCTCGAGGTACGAGGAGAACGCTTGTGAGATGGATGCTAAAATAAACCTACCACTTTATATTCCAAAATTTGTCTCATTCCTGTTGCCCCAGCTGCACAAAACAAATAATGTATGAGAAATTACATTTCATATATATATATATATATATATATATATACAATATATATATATTCAACAATATACATACATATTTACATATTTTGGATCCACCAGCAGCTGAATGGTAAAGTCACTGAATACTGGTAGTTTGGTCTAGGGTTCAAATCCTGGTGAACAGGCTGGCTGCATTGGCATTTTTGTAGTTTTCCTAGTGTGTAACATGTATACAAGCCAGTTTAGTTTCCCTTAAAGCATCTCACTCCTCACGCAGATAAGAGCAGAGTGCTTTTCTCCATAATGAAATAAACCAAACCTTCACTTTTTCAACCACAATGCACTTTTTTAGCTCCACAGATGGCAGCACTTGGCTACATCTTGAAATAACATTTTAACCAGAACTGCAGGTATATTTCAGAAGTTTTATTTGGTTTATAGTAGTTTTCAAACATGTTTTTTCTAGTTTTCTTGATTCTTCTAGTAAATCCAATTATGATATAATTATTTATTATGAATACAATAAGAGCTTGATAATTTGGAACACTCAGGTAATGCCAAATTCTCGATGTGTAAAACTTCCAGACAGCTGAATGTATATTGTTGCGTGCGTACGGGTTCGTTATGAAATGAATGCACAAGTCTGATGAAAAATGAACAAAATTTATTATTATCACAACAAAAATGCTTAAATTTTCTCAAATTATCATGCAGTATTACAATATCTCACAGTAGTTATCTTTTAACTACTCAAATGTACAATAGAACGTAATTCAAAACAGCTAAAGAACGCTAATCCACGAATTCGCTATAATCAACAACAGCAGTTTTCTAAACAACAACAAACTAAGCAACTACCACGAACTGAGATGTTTTCCTCCTTTTATAAGATTTTAAAAATCACGCGCTAGTATTTCCAGTACTTTCTCGAAATCAAAAAGAGATATTTATTTATTTAATGCACACGCTCTTGTATTTTCAATTTTCCGGAGTAGCTTTCTTTTAATATTCGTCACGCGCTACACTGCGCTAGAAATAAAACCATTTAATTTATAATTGAACTAACA